TTTAAATACAATTTAATTGGAAGAATTTTCTTGGAATCTAAGGATTTTTTTATTTGGAGTCTTCAAGAAATATTTTCTTTAAAATATATTTAACAAAATCTAAAACTATAATAATATAAAAAATAGCAATGACATTAGAAAGAATTTTATTGTTAAATATATACTCTACTTTTAGATTAAATAAATTATTATACAATAATATTAATCTAACACTATATTGGAACATTACCACAAAGGTCATGAACAATATTTTTAACTTATATATAGTTACAAAATTTAGTCCTAAAAACCAATGATGCCGTTTTTTTTTTTTTTTTTGAAAGATACAAAGCATTAAAATTATATGGCTAGTTATTTATCCTTAGAAAAATAACTATCATAAATATATTTATTTTTTATTAGATATTACTTTATATTAAATTTCGTATTATTGAATAAGTCAATCACTGTTTAAGTAGAGTAAAATTAAATTATATACATTATTAATGTGAATTTTAATCAACCCCTAGTTGATAGAATTATATTAAATGAAAAATAAATAAATTTTAACTATATATCAAATTTATATATAATTTTTTCTTACAAGCATTAAATATGATATAATTTCTCTATAGTAAGTTATTAAATGTTATTTATTTGCAAATATTTATTATTAAGTATATTAAAATATAATTATTAAAAGATAAATTAAAATTATAAAACCACAAATACCTAATAAGATGTACTATCAATTATTGGTTATAACTTTCTTGCACTTTAATTTAACTTATAGATTTATTTATATTTTCAATTATTTATTTATAAGAACTTTGTATGTATAATATAAATTTTGTCTACGTTTAATATGCTTAGCTATGGATATTATCTCATAGAAAGTGTAAGCATAAAATTTTCATGATATGTTGGGTGGTGGTGATTTATTTTAAATATATAGTTTCACTTTGTAAGAGTTAAATCAAATGAACTTTAGCCAACATTTAAAATATTTTTTTTTACTTTATTGATATGACATGAAAAGATTAGCATTTATAATGCTACGACTAAACACAAGTAGAATAAAATTTCAAAGAGCAACAATAAATAGGTGGGCACCAACAAATTCAACTGGGCACTCTGGTGTGGGGGAATTAAAATTGTGTTCAAGTGGTATGTGATGAATGGTATGAAAAATGGTATGCAAGATAAATGGGTGGGCAGTGGGGTGAGTGGTGTTAGATGTAACTGGGAAATAATAATTAATATTATTTACAAGAAATTTTTAAAGATTTATTAGAATATCTTTACGTGGATTTACTTGCGAATAAATTGGAAAAAATTTGGGATATTTTTGGTGTTTTTTGCAAGAAAATTCGCACGTTATTTACCTGCGAAATTTAAATCCCTAGGTAAATTACTTGGGGATTTTGAAATTCACAGGAAATAATTACCTACGAAGGTTTTAAATATGTTTCCAGGAAACATATTTTCCTGCGAATTTTCATTAATAATCCCCAGTAAAATCCCAATATAATTCGCATTTTTCTTGTAGTGGTCTACGAAAACAGCCTCTCTACTACTTTGGTTATTCTCCATCTCTTCATGTTTGAACTGTATCAGATAGATGGAGTTTCCCTCATTAACTAAATATGAAAAGTCTTGGAAATTTCTCATAAAATGATCTTCACCAAGTTATTCAAAACATGCTAATTATGCAGAAAATTAAGACACATATCAAACAAAATTTTGAATAAAAAGCAAATAAAAGAAAAAGAAAAAAAATTAAATCATGTCTTTAATTATTCTTCATTTTTTTCCTCACTTGACTTAGTCAAGCAATAGTTTCCGTCATTGGAAATTTCTTAGAAGTTCTGCAGAAAATTTTTCCACATAATGGGACCAACTTCACATCATCTTGCATAACACACACTGCAGCGATAGTTAATGACCTCGAAATGAACTTTGTGATTCAGTTTTTCTAAACTTTTTCTTTCTTCAACTTTGTGATTCAATTGTACATCAATCCCGATTATCATAATCTTTTTCCCCTTTGGCTTCAAGGCTTACAAGTCATCGTCCGCTAGTTACATTACCGTATCCTCTTTTTTTTTGGTTTTCCACCCGGTGTCTGGAGCCCACATTGGAGTTCCGACTAAATTCGGATCGCGCTCTGCAGGGCCCATTTGGGGGTGGCGCTCCCAACAAAATTTTCTCCATACCCAGGGCTCGAACCCGAGTGCACCACTTACCCATGTTGGTACCGTATCCCTTATTTCCTTTGGTGGAATGGAATATTGATGGATTTTCCCTCATTAGCTTAATGTGATTGAAAACTATTGGGTACCTAACAAGTTTGAAATAGCAGAAGAGACAACTAATCACTAACTCGGAATATTGTATAAATTAAATTCCATAAAAGTTTATTGCATTCTAACGATTGGTTTCTCTATCCCGAACGTACCCTAACTGTTCTCATAATTGGTTCAATGACACGTCTTGACTTTTTATGATTATATAAATTCCGTAGAAAATTGCACTAAAATTTATTGCATTCATACAACTTGGTTTCACTTGATTAAAGTGTCCCTTCTTGTCATAATATGTAAGATGAAATGGAGTAACATCATGTCTTTATTGCTCATTTATTTTTATTTTTCTCAATTGACTTGGTCATACAATAGTTTCTCTCTTTGAAAAGTATTGTGGAAAATAGAAGAAGAGATGTTGATGGAAAGTTAGACAAGAATGACTTAAAATAGGAGTTCAAATTTCTACCTATCCATCTATACTAATGTTAAATTGCTATAATATTTTCAACTTAAAACACTTAATTTAGTATATTTTTCTATAATTTATAATATGTTATATTATATTTATTTATTTAATTTAAAATATAGTGTACTACATGATTTAGCATTCATGTGCAATGCACGTGCATCAAAGCTAGTACTATCTTAAAAACTATGTTACTTAGATTATTTTAAAATGTCAACAGGTACGTGTTAGATTCTTCAAAAGTTGTGTATTTTTTAAGGAACCAACATTGGTGCAACATTATCATATTTTAGGAGAGCCTGAGCAACATAGTTCATTTATAGAAAAAAAATTGAAAAAAAAAGTGCAATAAGCATATAGAAGAAGCATGAAATAGAAAGAGTAGCATTCCTTATCGTAATCACTAGTAATTGATGAATCAAACTTCAAGCATATCATGAATTTGGCTTAAAGACTTAGAAGTCATCGTCTGCTAGTTAATACGAGACGGTCCTATATATGAAGAATAATGGAGTTTCCCTCATTAACTAATTAATGTGAAAAGTCTTGTGTACCTAACAATAAATGGGTGGGCAGTGGGGTGAGTGGTGTTAGATGTAACTGGGAAATAATAATTAATATTATTTACAAGAAATTTTTAAAGATTAATTAGAATATCTTTACACGGATTTACTTGCGAATAAATTGGAAAAAATTTGGGATATTTTTGGTGTTTTTTGCAAGAAAAATCGCAAGTTATTTACCTGCGAAATTTAAATCCCTAAGTAAATTACTTGGGGATTTTGAAATTCACAGGAAATAATTACGTACGAAGGTATTACCTTCGGATTCTTTTTGATAGGAAAATCCGTAGAAAACATATTTTCCTGCAAATTTTCATTAATAATTCCCAGAAAAATCCCAATGTAATTCACATTTTTCTTGCAGTGGTCTACAAAAACAGCCTCTCTACTACTTTGGTTATTCTCCATCTCTTCAAGTTTGAACTGTATCATATAGATGGAGATTCCCTCATTAACTAAATATGAAAAGTCTTGGAAATTTCTCATAAAATGATCTTCACCAAGTTATTCAAAACATGCTAATTAAGCAGAAGATTAAGACACATATCAAACAAAATTTTAGAATAAAAAGCAAATAAAGAAAAATAAATAAAATTCCACACGGTATTATTGTTCATTTTTTTCCTCACTTGACTTAGTCAAGAAATAGTTTCTCTCATTGGAAAATTCTTAGAAGTTCTGCAGAAATTTTTCCACATAATGGGACCAACTTCACATCATCTTGCCTAACACACACTGCAGCGATAGTTAATGACCTCGAAATGAACTCAATATCTAGAGAAAATTGGACATAGAGAGTATTATTTTGTGAAGTCTTCTCCGTCCTCTAAAAAGTCTTGTGGAACACTACAAAATATGAGTAACAAGTTGTTAGAAGTGAGTAGTACTCATCATTCCTATTACTATTTTTATTTATTCATTATCGAATATTCTAAAGCCTACCAAACGGTAAAACCTTTTGCATTATGCAAAATAAATTGTTGGGTGTTAAAAAAAAGATCAAATTTGTTTTTTGGTGTATTCTTTGAATTACAAGCACTGCAACAAACACTACAACAAAAACAACTTTTAGCGGCAATAAATATACACATTATTAAAGAGTGTTAAAGATTTTGCCGGTATTAGTTAAGTGTCATTAGATCCAATGTCGCAAAAAGCTTTAGGGACATATGCAAAAAGTGTTAATTGCCGTTAAAACTACATATTTAACGGCCATTAAACTTAATTAATTGCCGTTATAAATCATTTTTGATGTAGCGAAATCAATACCATTTTAATAATATTATATCAACTTATCAAATTCAGCGCAATTATTTCAATACCATTGTATAATCTTCTTAATGTTTTGAGTAAGATTTGATTATTTTAACTTAATATTATATTTTTTCATTGAAAATTCTTGTTGTTTGTATTCTTACTTCATAAAGATCTGCGTATATCCTATATTGTTGAAACTTTACTTGTAGGATTACATTAATCAGTATGTTATAGGTATTCAATTTATGTATGACAACTAAAACTAGTATATACATGTGGATAATGCTGATTGATTTGTAAAAAGAGAACAACCATCCTGTTATTTGCTGAAAACAAACAAACAAAAATGGGACGTTTCTTTTCTTTTATTCATTTCTGTGTTTTGTGTTGCTAATAAGTGAATGCTTTTCTTCTCCTTTTGATCATCATCTTTGCTCTCCCACTGAAGCTTCTGCTTTTGCTTCAGTTTAAGCAATCCTTTCAAAATATGTCCGAAGAGTACTTTAGTTTTCTGTGTGATGGAGCTTCTTTCCCAAAAACAAAGTCTTGGAATGAGAGTAGGGATTGCTGCAGTTGGGATGGAGTCACTTGTGACTTATTAAACGGTCATGTTATCGGGTTAGACCTTAGTTGTAGTCAGCTTGGTGGAAGTATTCATCCCAATAGCAGCCTCTTCCAACTCCATCATCTCCAGACACTAAACCTTGCTGGCAATGACTTCAATTATTCTTCTTCTTCTTCTTCAATCCCACATAACATTGGCCGATTGAAAAATTTGAGGCATCTCAACCTTTCTGATGCTTACTTTAGTGGGAAAATCCCAACAGAAATCTCATACCTTTCCAATTTGGTTTCACTTGATCTTTCTGATAGTTATGGATTACAACTTGATGAGAGAACATTTGAAGCAATGCTTCAGAACTTCACAAATCTGGAGATACTTTCTCTCTCCTTAACGGAGTTGGATATTTCATACACAGGAATCTCTGGTGAGCTTCCTGATTCAATTGGCACCTTGAGTTCCTTGAATATCTTGTACCTCCAAGGATGTCAATTCGCTGGTTCAATTCCTGATTCCATTGGCAACCTAACACAAATTACGAGGTTGGATTTATCTTTTAATCATTTCACTGGCCATATTCCTTCCACAATTTCTAAATTGAAGCACCTCACACATTTACATCTTTCCTCCAACTCCTTTTCAGGTGAAATTCCTGATGTTTTCTCTAACCTCAAAGAGCTACGTTATTTAGATCTTTCTCACAACTCCTTTTCAGGTGAAATTCCTGATGTTTTCTCTAACCTCAAAGAGCTACGTTATTTAGATCTTTCTCACAACTCCTTTTCAGGTGAAATTCCTGATGTTTTCTCTAACCTCAAAGAGCTACGTTGTTTAGATCTTTCTGAAAACAGCTTCATCGGTCTATTTCCCGCTTCAATTTTAAACTTGACACATCTTGAATACTTAGGCATGTCGAGTAATTCCCTATCTGGCCCACTGCCTAGCAACCCAAGCATGCTCCAAAATCTAACTTATGTGGATTTGTCTTACAACTCACTGAATGGTACCATACCATCTTGGGTGTTTAGCCTACCTTTGCTACCTTCACTGTCGCTCCAACATAACCGATTCAGAGGACTTGCCGATGAAGTGATCAAAACAAACCCAACATTAAAAGAACTGCATTTAAGCAATAATCAACTCAGTGGTCTTTTCCTCAATCACTTGTGAAATCTCAACAAACCTTAAAACCCTTGACATTTCATCAAATAACATCACCATTGATGAGGGAATGAATATCACCTTTCTTAACCTATCATCTTTATTCTTATCATCTTGTCAACTGAAGGATTTTCCATACTTCTTGAGAAATGTAAAGACACTGGTGTACTTGGATATTTCTAACAATAAGATTCGTGGTCAAATTCCTGACTGGTTTAGCGGCATGAGGTGGGACTCGTTGCAGTTCCTAAACCTTTCTCATAATTCATTGACAGGCCACCTATCACAATTTCATTACTATAACCTACAGTTTCTTGATCTGAAATTTAACTTCCTTCAGGGTACACTACCTTCATCCATTTGTAACATGAGTTCGCTTATCTTATTAGATTTATCACGCAACAACTTCAGTGACTCAGTTCCACATTGCTTGGGAAGCATGGCTAGTCTAACGGTGCTAGACTTAAGAAGGAACAATTTCACAGGGAGTCTTCCCCATTTATGTGCACAGAGCACTTTATTGAGTACCATTGTCGTAAATGGTAATCGATTTGAAGGACCTGTTCCTGTGTCGTTGCTCAATTGTAATGGTCTACAAGTCCTTGATGTAGGGAACAATGCTATAAATGACACGTTTCCAGCTTGGCTCGGAACTCTTCAAGAGCTGCAGGTCCTTATATTAAAGTCGAACAAGTTCCATGGACCTATAAGTACGTGTCAGACTAAGTTTTGCTTTCCCAAGTTGCGAATTTTTGATCTTTCTCGTAATGATTTCAGTGGCTCACTTCCTGCAAAAGTTTTTGGAAACTTCAAGGCAATGATCAAATTAGATGGTGAGGACGCAGGAAATTTCATGTACATGGAATCTATGTTGAATTCGCAATTTGTCACATCCTATGAGGATTCAGTGAGTTTGGTAATCAAAGGGCAGGATATTGAGCTACAAAGAATCAACACAATTATGACAACCATAGATCTCTCAAGCAATCATTTTGAAGGTGTGATTCCGAAAACACTAAAGGATCTCAGCTCACTTTGGCTACTCAATTTATCCAGTAACAATCTCAGAGGCGATATTCCAATGAAACTAGGACAATTGAGTATGCTTGAAGCTTTAGATCTCTCTTGGAATCGGCTCACTGGAAAGATTCCACAGGAATTGACAAGAATGAACTTTCTGGCAGTCTTAAAC